CATATAGAAAATCCTTCAGATTCCACCAAAAACTACTAGACCTGAGAAATCAATTCAGTAAGGTCACAGGATACAAAATCAATGTACAGAAATACATTGCAGTTGTATGCACTAATGATGAAGCAACAGAGAAATTAAGAAAAAAATCCCATTACAACTGTACCAAAAATAATAAAATACCTGGGAATAAACTTAACCAAAGAGGTGAAGATCTGTACGCTGAAAACTATAAACTGCTGATGAAAGAAACTGAAGATGGTGTCTGGGTGGCTCAGTTGGTTAAGCGTCTGACTTCGGCTCAGGTCATGATCTCGTGGTTCATGAATTCAAGCCTCTCATCAGGCTCTGTGCTGACAGCTCAGAGCCTGGAGCCTGCTTCAGATTCTGTGTCTCCCTCTCTCGCTGCCCCTCCCCTGTTCATGCTTTTTCTCTCAAAACTAAATAAACATTAAAAAAAATTGAAGACAACACAAAGAAACGGAAAGAAATCCCATGCTCATGGATTGTAAGAAGAAATATTGTTAAAATGTCTATGCTACCCAAAGCAATCTAGAAATTTAACATAATCCCTATCGAAATACCAGCAGCATTTTTCACAGAACTAGAACAAACAATCTTAAAATTTGTATGGAACAACAAAAGACCCTGAAGAGCCAAAGTAACCTTGAAAAAGAAAAAAAAAAGCTGGAGGTAACATAATTCCAGGCTTCAAATTATATTACAAAGCTGTAGTAATCAAAATAGCATGGTACTGGCATAAAAATAGACACATAGCTCAATGGAACAGAATGGAAAACACAGAGATAAACCCACAGTTATATGGTCAATTAGTCTTTGACAAAGCAGGAAAAAATATCCAATGAGAAAAAGACAGTCTCTTCAACAAATGGTGTTGAAAAAATCAGACACCTATATGCAAAAGAAAGAAACTGGACCACTTTCTTTCACTCAAAATGGATTAAGGACCTAAATGTGAGACTAGCCCTGAGGTTTCTTAAAGTTCAATCTCTCCTCCTCTGAGCATAGATGGTCCTTCCCTGTCAGGTTGCTCTTCCACCCACCCTCTCTGCAGTTTCAGTCACTGGTCCCAGGTTTGAAAGTGTCTTCTGCTCTTGCTCACTTAGGAAGTCATTATCTCTCCATAATTTGGTTCTTTTAGATCTCTGTGTATCCACAGCTCTTGGATGGTTTTAAAGGAAAGTATAATTGTTTTGGTTTATGTAGGGCTTTCTTGTTGCTTGGCAGGAGTTAAAGTCTCTCTCACACTTCTAAACCATAACTAGAGAAAGGGCTCACCTGTTCATTGGCCCTAAATGTTTTGCCAATTTCTGCTGTTCTCTGACCCTTCACTTAGGAGTACATGTACAATTTCCCAAATGTAAAGGTGTTGTCATTATTGATTTGGAGTTTTATTGCACTGTAATCTTTAAAAAAAGTTTTTCTTAACGTTTATTTATTGTTGAGAGAGAGAAACAGAGCATGAGCACGGATGGAAAGAGAGAGAGGGAGATACAGAATCCAAAGCAGGCTCCAGGCTCTGAGCTGTCAGCACAGAACCCAATGTGGGACTCGAACTCACAAACAGCGAGATCATGACCTGAGCCAAAGTCAGACACTTAACCCACTGAGCTACCCAGGCGCCCCTGCACTGCAATCTTTAGATACTAATTCTTGGTATTTATTGCCACCTTATGATTAATTAGATACTAATTTGGTATTTATTGCCACCTTATGATTAATGGTCAATTCTGGTCAATTTCAATAAATGCATATGTACACTTAAGAAGAGTGTATGCTCTCTAATATTCTCAAGTTGTATACATTCTTGAAGTAAATGTATATCCTTTAATTGTAAAATTTTACCTGAATTTTATCAAATTTTGGTTAATTCTGGAAAATGTTGCATGTGTGCTTTGGGAAGGATGTGTATTTTAAAATTACTGACTTCAGTACTCTACGCATGCCCATTAGTGAAAGGGAGAAATCAGGTGTTCAGACATATCCTAAGTAATATGGGGTCTGTTTATCTATTTGCTTTTCCCATTATGATTATGTTTACTCCTTCTAATTCCCTCAGTTTGTGCACCAAACATTTCAGGCTATGTTGTTAGGTGTTTACAGACTGTTGCATATTCCTGGTTGTTACCAGTATTATTACTCAATGATCTGCCTTAGCCTTGATAATGCATTCTGCCTTTTACTATATTTAATTTTTTATGATGATTGCTACACCAGTTATCTTTGGCTGGAATTTTGCTGGGCTACCATTTAAAAACTTTGTTTTCATCCAGTTATTATATATGTTGTGCTTTTTATTCCTGTGCCTTTGTTTTGTTTGTTCCCTCCTTTTCTGGCTTCCATTTGATTTCATCTTCTTTATTGGAATCCCCTGCTCCTGCTCCCCCCACCCCCATCAAGCAAACCATTCTATTTCTATATCTTTCTGATTGCCTTTAACTTCTGCAGATAGTTTTTGAGCCAAACTGTGATGAAAGAAAGTCATAAATAAGCTGATGAGTCACTTTGAACATTTCCTGTATCTACAGAGGGATGGAAGAATGGTGGTCATTGAAACCTTAGGAATACAACAAAAAATTAGTATGATTAGTAATGTTCTTCAAGTCACATACTTCGACCACAGCAAGTAAATAAAAACTGCATTGATCTATATTAACTACGATATGTTTATATGCATAGGTGTGGAGATAAGTTCATTTTCTCCTATGTCATACAGATGATCGAATTTTATTTTCTTTATTCAAAAGTAAAAAGCAATATAAAGATGCAAATAGCAAGGTTATCCCTAAATTTCATTTTGTGCTTATTAAATTGTATACTTGTAAATATGTATTGATACTAAAGAGTAGTAGTATTCACATGGCTTTTTCAGAAAATAAGCAATTTTGTAAATGGGAAGGCAGATGACTTATGATTAAAATGAAAGGAAAAGGAAACACAACAGAAGAAAGAAGGAAACATTAGGTCAAAATACCTTCTCAAAACACACCTTTGAAAGGGGACAGGCGTTTCTGTTCCCTGTGCTGCTGTTTACCTCTGTTTCTTATCAATCAATACCCTTTAAGTGTGCAAAAGATACACAATCACAAAGGAAAAAATCCTCTGTGTAGACAACTTCACACAAAGAATCAAATGTAGGATATCATTGGTCATTTCTCTACTGTGGTCATTCTAGCTAAAAGACATTCAAAGAATTTAATAAATCAAAGTAGTCCAGTGGTAGTTTTTTTTAAAAGCCCTACTTCAATATCAATGGAATAATAAAAGGCACTGATTAATAAAGATCTTACTTTTTAAGATATTTGTACTTTTTAATATCAAATGTACTTTTATACGATTGAGCCATGAATCTCTATAGCAGCTCACTGCAATATACCCACAAATTGTCTGCCATTAATTTTAAGATTGCCTCAAAAATAACCTACAATAAAATAACCCAAGACACTTCTCCCCTAAATTGATCTACAGATTTAAAGCAATCTTAATCAGGGGCGCCTGGGTGGCGCAGTCGGTTAAGCGCCCGACTTCAGCCAGGTCACGATCTCGCGGTCCGTGAGTTCGAGCCCCGCGTCAGGCTCTGGGCTGATGGCTCAGAGCCTGGAGCCTGTTTCTGATTCTGTGTCTCCCTCTCTCTCTGACCCTCCCCCGTTCATGCTCTGTCTCTCTCTGTCCCAAAAATAAATAAACGTTGAAAAAAAAAAATTAAAAAAAAAATAAAAAAAATAAAGCAATCTTAATCAAAACTCCTAGTATGATTTTTATAAATTAACAGATTCTAAATTTTTTATAGATATGCAAAGACACTAGAATAACTAAACAATTTTGAAAAAGAAGAACAAAGTGGGAGGCCTTATACCAGCTGATTTCAGGATTCACTCTAAAGGTTCAGTAATCAAAACCATGTTACTGGAGGAAAGAGAGATCAGGGGAACAAAACAGAGTCTAGGAACAGATTCACACTTGTACTGACAATTCACTTTCAACAATGTTGCCTGGGTGAGTCAATGAAAAGACGGTGGTCTTTTCAACAAATGGTGCTGGAACCATTGGATAGATAAGACATGCAAAGACAAACAAATTTGAAGTTTACCTCACATCATATACAGAAATTTAACTCAAAATGGATCTTAGGCATAAAACTGAAGTCATTAGGAGACGGAGGTTGGAAGTGGCCCAGCAATCACACTTCTAGCTATTTACCCAAGAAAACATAAGCCCACACAGATCTTGTATGCAGATGTTCGTGGTAACTTCATACATAATATTCTAAACTGGAAGCAACCTAAATGTCTATGAATCTATGAATGAGTAAACAAATTGCAGTGTATTCCATACAATAGAATACCACTCAGGAAAAAAAAAAGCACCTAAGAAATTTATTAACCTGGGCTTGAAGACTAGTCAAAGTTCACTGGGGATACCTGTGGACAGAATGGATACCTGTGGACAGAGTGGGCTCTACAGCTGGCAGGTCTGAGAGGCCTGTTTCTGGAACACAAAGCCCTAGTTCATTCATCATTTGTGACTATGGAGAAAAGGAGCCAGAAGTCAGAGGAAAGGAGCTGAGCCAGTAACCTTATGGACCCCAAACCTGGAGTGGACTGCGAAGATCTCTCCATTTTATGCGATTAAACTCTATGAAAAATGGCTGAGATTAATCTCGCAGCTTCCTTTCAGAAAGAAAACAACAAATGCTCACTTGAATTATTTCTGCTTTAATTACTAGTTTAATTCCATGTTTTCCTTTGCCTCCATCACTGGTATAATTCCCCAGATCTAGAATTTCATGTGCTCAGTTGAAATATTTTCCAGGTACCAAGTAACACTTTGCCTGTCTCTTCCATACAGTCGAGGACAGGGAGGCATTATCTGAAGGAGAGGGTCTCCCAGGTTTCCTTCTGCAGGGAAAACCATCACACAGGCCCTGTCCCCTGAGGGGAGGGTCTCACACAGGTTTTGGCCCCTGCAGGGCAGGTACTCACACAGGCTTCCTGCTGCAGGTATTGTAGGACCTTCTTGGCTGGAATGAGGAAGTCAGTGAGGCAGCGCAGCCCATCCCCACCGTGGAGCCTCTCAGCCACACTGAACAGCTGCCAGAGCACCGTGGCTGCCGTGGCCTCAAAAGGTGGGTAGAGGGAAGACAGTGTGTTCTGGATATAGGTGTCAAGGGATTCCAGATCCTGAAATGCAAGAGAGCATCGGGTAATTTAAGACATCAATGAAGACAGGTGCAGAGGAGAGTTTCACTGGCTGGTTATGTAAGGGTCCCCTTTACAGGCTCTGTCTTATGTCTGGGTATGTGGCTTGTCTTTGTGGGAAGGTGCAGGCAAACCCTCAGCATAGTGGGGAGTTCCAGTCTGCTGGTCCTTCACATTGTCACACTGAGGAAGTGCCCATGGCTGCATTAGGTACACCTGACCCCTGAGCCTATGAGGGGAACCCTAACTAACACTTTAAGTGAGGTTGTTGCTGCTGTCACCGGAGGCACAATCAAGTTCCACCCCATTAAATTCTGAAATGTGCACCTGAAATGCTACATTTGAGGGTTATCTGTGGAGCGTCTGGAATTTCTCAGGGGGCCTTCCCTTTCCATGGTACTCCTGGGTCTGAAGGGAATGGGGGAGGCCCCTGTGACAAGGACAGAGCTGGTTCACATGTAATTTAATACTCAGAAAAGTTTACCTATAGTAAATACATTTTAACTGTACTGATAATGTTTAAAAGATTAAAAAAAAAAACCATTATGGCATCCTTTATCAAAATCACAGAAATACACCCACTCAGTCATTCTGAAAACAGTATCATTGGTACCTGATTTCTTCTTCATATTTTGATAGAACAAGCTTTTATGTAAAGACAGAATACTTTTAGTTTAAAAGATGTTTAAAGTTATTTTTAGATGTAGCATTTCCTGAGGAAATACCACAAGGTTCATTTGTTTGGAAAAGAAATGCAAGGCTACAAATAACAGTTAAAAGTCAAAGAGGTTAAAATTGTGAAATCGATTTTAAAGGGACAACAGTTACATCTGACACTCCTCTGAACAGTTCATGCTACAGGAAACTGAAAATAAAATAGTGAATCCTCTGAGCCTAGAGTGGATAAGGACGCAGGCCATCTGTCCTGACTGAAAGGCCAAGTCTCACAGCGAGCAGGGAGGTGAGCGCTGCAGTGAGTTCAGCTTCTAGAAACTCCCACCACCATGTCGGTGTGGTGAGGCATTGATTAGATATCCTCTGGAGCTCCTACACTCACAGAGGCCTCCTCGTGTCTGTTTGTTCCCCTTCCTCCATATACCTGGCTCTTCCCACCAGACAGGGTCACTCACTCAGTAGGAATTATCTAAATACTAATTTCATCCAGAAAATACCAAGATGGTCAGTCTGATGTCTAAAAACTCAAATCATACCTGAGCTACCAGTGAATATCCAGCCCATAAGAAAAATGGAGGTGGTCTTGAGCCAGGGGCAGGAATCATGCCCTAGACGTCATGTACCTCACAGAGATCTGAAGCAAATGCTTAATTGTGATACAAGAAACTGGTAAAGGTGGAAGGGGCATGTCTTTAATGATCTATTTTGGAGGAAGTAAAATGCAAACTTTGGACCCTCCCAAGGAGAGATGTCCTCCTGCTGCCCAGATACCCAAGTCCAGGCCCACTTCTCCTCCAGACTCGCAGATGCATCCTCATTCTTGTGTCCAGCTGTGGTTAGTAGCCTCCCAGCGGGTCTCCTGGCCTCCACCCCACCTACTCATCCCTTGAAAACTGCCCAAAGTGAGGAGGAGAGGGCCGATACTTGCTGAGATCTCTGGGATCTCACAGCATCCCCGGCCCCTTCTCTGCCTTTTGATTCCTGTCATGACTGAGCCAAGCCCCAACACTTGGTCTAGAGGGCACCTCTTCCACCAGCTTCCACTCCCTGGGTGCCATCCCCCCCAAATCCTGATCCAGGCAAGAGCCGCCCAAGAAAAGCTGTTTACCTGCCCAGAGGCCATCTCCCAGGTCGAGTAAGTTAAGGAAGTCTTGGGCAAGCCAGAGGGAACACATCCTCTAGCCTCTTCTTGGCTACTGTGTCCCGAATAACTGCCCATACAGCAGCTTCCTGGCTGTCATCTGCCTCTCTGGGTGCTTGATGACCAGGAACAACCAAAGCACGATGGTGCACACAGGGCCACTGTCTCACGAGCTCCCCAATCACTTTGCAGATGGTGCCTGATCTTGCTCTTGGGAAGAGAGGCTCTGATGAATAAGCAGACTGTACGACCAGGGATAGACACAGCCTGAAGGGCCATCCCAGGCACAACACTGTGGCATGTGCACAGTACAAGCCAACCATTCCCACTTGCATACAATTCTCACAATTTAGTATTTTCAAGACCCACAAATTATAAGAGGGGGAGGCAGACATATATGACCTTGAGAGCAGAGGCAGAAATTATCACAACAGATGCAAATTACCTTAATATATTCAATTCAGCTTAAGAGAACATGTAACAATATAATATATCTTAGAAAGATTTCCATAAGAAATGTTTAAAGGGGACATTGTCTTTGGTATGTTAAAAGATGAAGTTCAAACATCTGGAATATTTACTCTGCATAGTATTTTCTTCCATGATGTTTAGTGGAATGATATGTGTGTTACAGTTGAGTGTGTGTGTGAAGGAAAACGTGTGTGCAGAGATGGGTGTGTGTGTGAGGGAAAGTATGTGTGAGAGAGAAAGTTATGTGTGAGGGAAAGTGTGTCTGTGTGGGGGAAAGTGTGTGTGAGAGATAAAGTGTGTGTGAAGAGTGTGTGTGTGTGAGGGAAAGTGTATGAGGAAAGTATTTGTGAGAGAGAAAGTGTGTGTGAGGGAAAGTGTTTATGAGAGGGAAAGCGTGTGTCAGGTAAAATGTGTGTGTGTGGGAAAGTGTCTGTGAGTCAAAGTGCGTGAGGAAAAGTATGTGTGAAGAAGAGTGTATGTGAGAACGAAAGTGTGTGTGAGGCGGTAATGTGTGTGTGAGAGGGAAAGTGTATGTGAGGAAAAGTGTGTGTGAGAAAAAGTGTGCGTGAGGGAAGGTGTGTGTGTGGGAAAGTGTATTTGTCAGGGAAAGTGTGTGTGAGAGAAAATTGTGTGTGAAAGAAAGTGTGTGAGAGGGAAAGTGTGTGAAGGAAAGTGCGTGTGAGAGAAAAAGTGTGTGGGAGGGAAAGTGTGTATGTGAGAGGGAAAGTGTGTGTGAGGGAGTGTAAGTGAGACAGAAAGTATGTGTGAGGAAAAGTGTGTGTGTGGAAAGTGTATGTGTCAGGGTAAGTGTGTACATGAGAGGGAAAGTGTGTGAGGGAAAGTGTATGTGAGAGAGAATGTATGTGTGAAAGAAAGTGTGTGTGAGAGAAAATTATGTGAGAGGGAAAGTGTGTGTGAGAGGGAAAGTGTATGTGAGAGAACATGTATGTGAAGGAAAGCGTGTGTTTGGGAAAGTGTACGTGTCAGGGAAAGTGTGTGTGAGAGAAAATTGTGTGTGAGAGAAAGTGTGTATGTGAGAAGGAAAGTGTGTGAGGGAAAGTTTATGTGAGAGAAAAAGTGTGCGTGAGAGAGGGAAAGTGTGTATGTGAGAGGGGAAAGTGTATGTGAGAGAGAACGTATGTGTGAAGGGAAGTGTGTGTGTGGGAAAGTGTATGTGTTGGGGAAAGTGTGTGTGAGAGAAAATTGTGTGTGAGGGAAAGTGTGTATGCGAGAGGGAAAGCACATGAGAGCAAATGTATGTGAGAAAGTGTGTATGAAAGGGAAAGCGTGTGAGGGAAAGTGTGTGTTGAGGGAAAGTGAATGTGAGAGGGAAAGTGTGTATGTGAGGAAAAGTGTGTGAATGCCAGTGTGTGAAGGCATCTGAAGGTGCGTGTGGGGGTAGAGCCATAGTGAGCCAAGAGAAATATTGGGGGCAAATCCTTAGAACAGTTCCTCCGCCTCTGGGTGCCCAGGAAGAGAAGGGAGTAGCCTCAGGGTCAGGGAGAATGTCTATGCAGGCACCTGTCATCAGTTCGGCCTGTGCCCGCTCTCTCTGCAAGGTGTGACTCGCCCATTCACCCACTCTGGCACGCCATCAGGATGTGCAGAAATAGGAGGGAAGAGAGCAGACCAAGGCAGATGTCATCACTTTGTCGATGGTTGATTTCTTCTCCTTATGTAGCTCCGGATTCCCGTTTCAGCCGAGGGCTAACTTCAAAACTAGGACCTTTGCCTGTGTACTTGATCCTAAACCTACCTGTGGCTTAGGATGTGATTTTCTGCAGATGTACGTTAGTGGATTGGTGACACAATACTAGTATAAAGCACTTAATCACCATTTTGCTGAACTATGAATCAGTGTGTTGTTATTTGCATTTTAACAAAAACTGTTCACGTCTGGAGAAAGATTTTAGGGCTTTACTCTTCAGTGAAGGACTTTAGGTAAAACTTCATTGAAAGGAGGGTGAATTTTAAAATCTATACCCTTGTCTCTCACAATGCCTGCACATTCCATGACTAGGCATGTTCCTCCTGGCACCTAGTGCACAGGCCAGTGACCTGGCCTCAGCATACAGCCCCGCCCTGCAACTCTCCAGGCCTCACACGCGCTGAAGATGAGAAGACTGAAGCTGGGCATCCACAGGCCCATCTGTGCCCACCCTGTGCAGGGGGGGTGGGGCAGTCTCAGGGACACCGGCAAGACACCTGGCCGCTTGGTTCTGAAACACGAACCAGCTGGAAATGGCATGCTTCATCCGCCAGGGGGCAGGTAACGTGCTAAATGTCAAAGCCAAGGTAATGTCTTCTCATTTCAAGGACTGTGCTGAGCTAAACAAGACCAGCCGATGAATAAGGCAAGGAAACAGCAGGGGCACCCCATCCAGGGCCTGGCAGGCCGGAGGGACTGGGCTGAGGCTGGCCTGACAAAGGCTGCCCACCAGTGCTCACATTTTCACTCAAATGTAACACCCCCAAAGATGACTGAAGGCACAGAGTTGTGGGGCAGTTGTTGGCAGGGTGGGTAGGCCTGGACATCAGGATCCTTTTATCTGCCCAGAGAGTCTGCAGGGGCTTACTGTGGGGACCACTCCTGTCTCTTAGGAAAGGGCACCCCAAGATGAGAGACTGCTAGGTAGCTAGGTTTCCGAGCAGCAGGGCATAAACTGTGCTCCCAGACCTCCACCCCACCCTTCCT